AAAATCTATGGAGGGAGCTGAAACTCTGTGTTGCCCAGTGACAGCCCCAAAACCTGAAAGATCTGGAGAAGACCTGTATGGAGGAGTGGGCCAAAATCCCTGCTGCAGTGTGTGCAAACCTGGTCAAGAACTACAGGAAACGTCTGACCTCTGTAATTGTAAACAAAGGTTTCGGTACCAAATATTAAGTTCTATTTTTCTATTGTATCAAATACTTATTTCATGCAATAAAATGGAAAAATCAGTGGTGTATCAAATACTTATTTGCCCCAGTGTAGGTATTTACATTTTAATAATGGAAATCTGAGTTCCACTAGAGGATCAACAAGTTTGTTGCATCTTCAATAGTTTCTGCGCTAGATCCTAAAGGAAATACCCATTAGTGAAATACTGTTTTTCTGGAATAACTTCCAAATGTATGATATCAATGTGATTCCAAATGTTTGAGGGAGGTTTTCATGGTCAGTGAAATACTATCAGGGATGTATTGGTTTTAGCTGCATTGGCATTATGGGGCCAGTGAGCTGCTTTGGCAGATGTTTGCATGTTCTGAGTGCTGTTTAGTTAAAAATTATGTTTATAAATACCATTCATGTGTCTTTGAAACAACATGTACTGACATACATTGTATTTAATATAACATTGACATAATTAGATCGGTTTCATACATTGCGGTTTTTAACGCAGGGCATTAAGCAGTTTAAATTTGTTATAAAGAAAAGCCAAGAAAGTTCAACAAAAGATTATTCATTGCTCTCACTTGAAATGTGCGTGTCTTTACATGTGTACTGTGTGCAGGCGGACAACAAAAAACCTGTCCAGAGACAGGATGGGCGTTCTGATGCGTCTGTCCCAGAACCTGATCTACGGCCTCTTCTTGGTCTTCTTCATCATACATTTAGACAATGATGTCATCAAGGGAGCCGTGCAGGACCGCATCGGCATCATCTATCAGATGGTTGGTGCCTCACCGTACACTGGCATGCTGAATGCTGTGGCTCTCTGTGAGTTCCAATACCACCAAACATCTACACAGAGAAGGGAAAACAGATTTCCAGGTTTTTGACTTGCCTGACAACAACAAAGTGACACATTGCTATAATACACCGCTAAATTTAAGACAGCACTTGTATGCTATGCATATTTCAATAAACAATAAAGGAGGCATTACAGTGGAAAATGAGGAAACTATGAAACTGGACAGAAATTGTGACAGGCTAACCTGAAAATCCAAGCGTGGCCCTTATTAAAAAACCAAAATAAAAGATTACAATATATAACTTTTGTCACTTGTATTTAACAATTCATAACTTCTTTTTTTTCCCCAAAATTATTATCTTTCAAATGAAACTGTCAAATGTGTCCTTCCACTAACTACCTATGAAGCAGCTTTACACTGTCCTGGTAAGACACCACCAAGTCTTGGTTCTCAGGTTTCCGATTAAATTGCATGAAGCGAGGAAATAACGGACATATCAAAGGCAAAAGATAAGACATAGGCCAAGTTGTGCTGCATGTAGCAAGCTGCCTTTTTTCACTGGTTGCGTGTATGGTTGGTATCTAACAGTCTATCTGACAGCATGTGTCTGTTAATATCAGAGATACGACTTCAGGGAAATTCTGAACAGAATGAAGCGCGAGTGGACTATCACCTGCGGTGTATTATCTTTGTTAAGCAGCATGTTTGTAGTATCTTTATCTCAGTTGTATGAGATTGCTTATCTCTTGCTCAGTACTGTCAATGAAAGTGTGCATTATTTTTGTTCCTTTCAGCAAAAATGTCTAAAGTCTAGCTTCGACTTTGCTTGGTGAAAGTGCATTAAGGGACTTAATGTACAGTACTTTCAGTGTGTTCTTTGGTCAGTGTAAAAGATACATTGTAAGTTAAATTATGGTACTAGTATTATAAATTAGAACTATCAATATAAGTTATAAGTTATCAGAACAGCTTTGATTAGATATGTGTACAGAGGTACTGCTGTTTGCGGGGATGTGCCTTTTCCCCTACAGACATACAGTATCCATACTATCTGTATTATGCATGCACGTCTTTGTGTCTCTGTATTGTATGATGATTTTACAGACTGTTTTAAGGTGGGAGCTTGTGATTTTACATGTTTTAAAGTTCTGTGATATTAATTTTTCATCTTGTGGTTTGCATTTTATGTTTTTAACTTGGACCAGCATTTTTGCAGCCAAAACACAGATTAAAGTTAGAGGAGATTAAAAACATTTTTTAAGTCTTTTGGCAATAGGTAACAAGGCTTTAGTAGATTCTATCTTAATATGAACTTTATACACAGGGTATATTTTAAATATATGATATGGGTACTCACATATTCAGCCAGTAAAAAAAATCTTCACTTTACACTGTGATTATCACTTGTCTGCCTCAGTTATCAGTGAAGTCTAAAATCTCAGCTTTAGGACTCTGGCTGCCAAAGATATTGGAGATAAGAAATATGAGCAGAAGTCACACTAGAGTTAAGGGGTAATTAGAAGTGTTAGATAAGCACCAAAATAGCCCAAGGTAGTGACTGGGATACTGCTCTTGAATCAGTCTCACTGAGAACAACTGATAGGACACAATACCGACCAGGAGGTTTGTTCTGAGAAACAGGTTTGCCGAGTTGCCAGAATAACTTTAAACCAAGAACACTTGCAAATTTGGAACACAGACTGATGTCCAAAGGCTGGCTTTGGCTTTTACTCAACCAAGATAGTATCAAGAAAGATCGATAAAGTGGCTTCTTGGCTTTTTTTTTTTAGTAATGACATATTGTAATATGCATCATTCAGTCTATGAAAGTATTGAAGTACTAGCCATAAATGGCATAATAAAGTACAATATAGTAGTTCACTCAATAAACAAACATCTCTGTTCTTTAGAACAACACATTTTCTCTCATTCCTATGTATCCAACAGAAGGATTTTGTTCAAATGTCTTGTAGAATTTTGATATTTCCTATTTTGCTCGTTTCCCTCTCACATTTTCACACTCGTCACCTTACAGTATCCGTTCTCTGTTTTTCCTTAACAGTCCCAGCGTTGCGAGCCATCAGTGATCAGGAGAGCCAGGATGGTCTGTACAGTAAATGGCAAATGTTCTTGGCCTACATCTTCCACATCCTGCCATTCAGCATTCCGAGTGTCTTCATCTTCACCTCCTTCCTTTACTGGTGGGTAGTGTGTGTGGGTGTTTGAGGAAGGCAAGCAGCATATTTACCCTCCCTCTGTGCACCCTCAACATTAACTCCTTTTGTCTCAGGACGGTGGGGATGTACCCTGACGGCGTGCGCTTCCTGTGTTTTACAGCTGTAGTACTTGTACCACATATTGTAGGTGAGCTGATATGATTAAGGTGGACAAATATTCCTTTTATTTATGTGAACAAGCTCCAAAGCACATTTTAGCAGCTATCTTTTAATCTAAGCAAAGGATTACCCTCATTAGACAAAGTACATAATAAGGACGTGTCTAATCTTCCTAGCTCTGATTCATATCCTATAACTATTAAAACTGTCGTCTTCATTACTGCTTTGCTGCCAAAGCTTTAACAAGGATAAATGCTATATATTTAATGTTACAGAAACAACAGTAAACTTAAGTTTCAGCCTTACAAATGTGCTTGACATAAGCAAAGGCAGTTTTAATGTAATGCTTCCTCTGTTTATAGCTGTATGTATTGTGGCTTTTTTGTCTTTTTTCTCAGGTGAGCTGCTCACTGTGGTGCTATTAGGAGTGGTCCAAGACCCTAACATGGTCAACACTGGCGTGGCTCTGCTCAATATTGCAGGGGTACTGGTGGGGTCTGGATTCCTAAGGTGAGAAGGCGTTTTAATTTGATTAGTAAATGTAAGTAACAGTATGCCTATTAACCTTGGCAGCACAAAATGAAATTATTATAGTGGCCATGGTTTACTTATCAGACAGTATGCTACCAGTAACACACCTTCCTTTCCTCTTCCTCTCAACAGAAGCACCCAGCAGATGCCAGTGGTCTTCCAGTGGCTCAGCTACCTGACCTTCCAGAAGTACAGCTGTGAACTACTCATAGTCACCGAGTTCCACGGACTTGACTTCACATGCAGTAAGTTGGGACCATCTTCTGTGTCCACCTACTCTGAGAATAAAAAGGAACCAGTAAGTCTTTAGAAGTTGTATTTATTGCTCACAAACGGTGTCCCAAGGTAAGATGTTACAACAGTAACAGGGATGATTTTGCCAAGAATTATTTCTCATACCCCATTTTCAGTCATATCTAGCAGTATGTGACAGATAGAAGAACACTGAAACGGTTGTGTGCATAACCAGATAATTGTTAACGCTTTCTCTCTGCTGTGCTGTTGCAGATAGTTCCAAACCTTTGCCGGGAGCCTGCTATGTCACTCATGGCAGTCAGGTCATTGATGAGGGCTATCCTGGCGCTCTGTCCCGCTACACACTAGACTTTGTTCTCCTCTACTCCTTTCTCCCTGCTCTCCTGCTGCTGGGAATGATCAGCTTCAAGATCAGAGACAAGCTTGTGCATCACTAAAACACAGATGGGACAGTATCTTGTCTAAAAAAGGAGCTGAAACCAGTTTGGTTCTGATGATCCAAAACAGACTGCAGATTTACACAATGATGTTATTCACAAAGATGAGGTATACTTAAGTAATGTGGCTCCTGCCAATATGTATCATCTGTTTTGCCCTTAAGCCTTTTCTGTAGCACTTAAACTTTACAATTTTAAAGAATAAGGTTTGTATAGTTCAGACCAATGATACAAGTACAAAGAGATTAGAAATGTTTCAGGATATCCCAGCGCATGACGTCAGGTGTAAAGTGCATCACGGTTGACCCGTGTTGACTGGAATGGTATCATAATTCAACCTGCTGCTTTACTGTAATTCTAACCGGGCTGAGATGGGCTGCACAGATTTAACCGAAGGCTAAAGGTTAAACATGCTGTTTCTCACTGGAACAAACAATATTTACACTCATTTCTAATTGCTGCTTTTTGTGTAAACTCGTATACAAAGTGGTACAAGTAAACTACTGTACATGTAACTTGAAGCCTAAACTATAATTCAGTTAAATGATGGAATGCTGTGTATCAAGTACCAGATTATTATTCATGTATTACTTTTTGTTTAAATATTGTGATTGTAATGTGTCATAAATATGAAGTGATGCCTATTTCAATAAGGTGTTTATTTTTCTAGAACACATTTTTTCATCAGTACATCATACAATTACTTCTACTCTGTTTGAGAAAAGGTTTACACACTGTATAAATGAAATTAGTAGAAAAAACTAAATGACACAAAGGGAAATAAATAACCCAAAAAGTATAATGTATGTACATAAATATGTGGTGTACGTGTGTGTGACCATGAGGCTGATTATCTCTCTGTCTCCAGGTCTAGTCCTTTCCATGACTTAGCTGCATTTCTCTTATACTGCTCCAACTCCTGAAATACAGATGCAGACAGAAAGAGAGAAAAAAAAAGTTTCTATATTGGTAAAAGTACAATGACAAGTGCAAGCAGCCACACAGACATATGCTGTAAATAACTGCAAAGTCATCATTTGTTCCACTCCAAACATATCAATGCAGATACAGCCCACTGCTAACAAAATGTTTATAGCACAAGCAAAGTGTGATACATCTGGAGAATATCCAGACAGTTCAAGGACTCCAAAACATCAAACATTCATTCAGGCTTTAATTTGAGCCAAGTAGGTCACAGGGGGTTTGTAACAATGCAGTAATGATTGTCATATTTTGACTTTATGAAGGTAAACCAGAAATATACAGTTTTCTTCTACCTTTGTTTTGATATAGTCATGCTTGGTAATATAGTAAACTGCTGTGACATGATGTTCAAAATACTTTATGTATTAATACTATACATTTATATATATTTTTGAACAAACTGTGCAACACTGATACATTAGTCTCAGTGTGTGCTTTCTAAAGTGAGGAGTTGTGTCATCTCAGGCTAACCATCATTTCTGGAGCAGGTAATAGAGTCACAACTTGGGAAACAGGTTAAAATGTTTTACATTGCACAGCAAACAGAATAGTTTTTCAATCCAGAAGGGCAGAAGAGATTTTAGAAATGCCTTCTTGAAATGAAATGCCATCTGATGATATGTTCCAGAAACACAGATGCTTAACTCCGTGACACAAATGTAATATTAATTCATAAGAGTCATAAACTAGAGCTAAGGTTACATACAATTACACAGGTGGATTAAAAGAAAACCATCTCTTATCATTACATTAAGCCAAGGCTACAGTTTGCATGTCGGATATCAGTTTACAATCTATTCAGACATGCATTTATGCTTTCACAAACTTTATTCTATTTACCTGGGTGGAGTAAACCTTTACCCCTGTTTCTCTGATTGGTTACCCAGACCAATTATATGATGTGTCATCCAATGGCAAAGTAAGGTGACTGGCATCAGGTGAGTGTCAGTCAGGGATCGCAGCATGTGATTTGTTGTGTGACTCCAACAGGTTACTGTAGTTCACATGCCAGAGTGGCACCCAGGCTGATTGACAAGAAGACTACTAATCTCTGAGTTTATAACTGTGAAATATATTACAGCCTGTTAATGAGAACCTGACAGAAACACCACTACCTATAGGCTACTGAAGGACAAAAGGTTATTCTGGAACATTACCCTTGTTTAAGACAAATGTAGAGCAGTGTGCACAAGAAAGCCTTCAACACTAACTGAAGTCCAATTATTCTGTTTTTATGTAACTTCACTTAACTAAAATAAGGTGATCACACTGTATATAAAATAAAATCAGGTGTTATAAAATCTTGAGCAGCCTGGAGCACATGACAAAGGGGCATGTAATATCACTCTGCCTTAAGAGAGAACAGCAGTGACAAAATAAAAAACAAACTAATTACAAAGATGAAAAGCCACTTCTTGCTCCAGGGATTATGGTTGAATGGTGGATTATGGTGTCATTTAGCGCTGTATCATAAATCTGACTCTTTTTCATTTTCCTTTCAATATTTTTTAAAAACTATTATTTTTCTCAGTAACTTGTTTGGGTGACATGGCACAGATAACTAAACAGCAATTTCTAAAGAACACTGACTGACCGCCCTGTTGCCAACTAATGGGTTGCAACACTGGTTAGAGTAGCATAGTCTGTCCAGAATCGTAGGTGAAGGATGTGTTTTGTCAGAGTATTCACAACTGTGCACATATAAAGTAAGGCAATGCAGCCATGTGATTTGTCAAGATGTGTTACCTGGTCTTTCTGGGTTCTCATGGCATCAATCTGAGGCTCACTGTATTGTGAGTCTTTGGCTGGATCCTTTAGATCCCTCTGCTCACTTGTACTCTGCTAAGACAAAGTCAGTTAGATGTACAGAAACACATTATAAGTTGTTAGAAGACTAGAGAAGTCAGTGTTCATGTTAACATGCATATTCATAATAAGATATACTGTACTACATTTTATGTGCAAACATAGTCACTGTGTGTGAATGAAGATCATCCAGTGTGACTGTTTTCTTAAACATCAAAGGGTAATAATGCAGAGACAGACAAAGGAGTCACCAGTGACTGAACTACCTCTTGAGGGAAGACATGCTCATAGGCTTTCTTCCAGAGGTCCTTTGGGGTTTTGGCATGCAGGGAACTCATGTCCACATCATTAATAGGAGGAGAACCTACATCAACAGGAGCATCAGTTCAAACACAATCCTGGTCACATTAACAAATGTCAAGGCAGAAGGTGGCGCTGCTTTGTTTTACAACACTGCACAGTAAATGGATTCTAATTTCATGTAAAGTAATTACTATCTGTGGCCACTGAGTGGCCCTGTGCTCACCTATTTGGCTAAAGGAGTCAGAACCTGCTGGAATGATGAGAGGCTTGGCGGACTCATAGCAAACTGTTTTTCTGATCATAATATTGAAGAAAAAAGAAAATCAGAGCATGAAATCATTATTGCAGCAACCTGCACAATAATTCTTTTTTTATATTTGTATATTTATATTTGTCCATTTATCCATTTTCTCATCATGTGTATAGTATATAATGTCAGTGCCAGGTGTTCCATTGGTGTACAATGCTGTATTATCTTCCTCACCCTCTGTCCAGACCGAAAGCCAGGTGGGAGAAGAAGCTCTTGGCTTTTGACATAAGGCTCTCTGACTTGATGCTAGTGAACTGATGAAATGATTAGACACAAAAAGAGAAAGAAACATTTAGTAAGAGAAAACAGCAGACAAAAGAAAAAAGATTAAAAAGTAAACACCGCAAAAGTACTGTATGTATAATAATGGTGCTTACAATAAGAGAGGCAGCGTAGTAGTGGGCAATAAAACGCAGTGCTTTACTAATCACTTTCTTCTTGTTAGAGTCAAATTCCTGCAACACAGATCAAAAAACTGTGACTCTAAACGTGCTATGCAAAATATATCATGAAATGTAATCTATTCAACAAATTCTATTGGTAGTGTTTCGATTGAAGCATCTGTTTTACCTGAAAGGTGTCATACTTGCTACCAATTATGAGCAGAGGAACAGGAAAGGGCCTGATCAGCTCTCTGTCCTGTTGACAGAGTCCCACTTAAGTCAGTACACATGTGCCATCTGACAGCATGCCCACACAAGACCAAAAATGATTCACCTTTCATCAGCTAAAATAAAATAAAAAATATCTTATTTCAAGTTTATCTCACTGTAGTTACATTTGGCAAACAACTAGATATTCTCATTTTTTTCTGTTGTCCTAGACTGTGCAGAAACTTATGTTAATGTGACAGGGAGAGTAAAGAGCTGAGGTCTTACAGGATGGTCTTTAGGTAAGACATGTGTTATTGAGTGGACTGGCATCTGGCATTTGGCTTCTGCTTTGGGCTTTTCTGCTCGCTGTGCTGTGACTTTTTCTAGCTGAGCCTGTGTGGCCTGCAGCAGCTTTTCCATGGTTCCCCACAGGGCATTGGGCTTCGATAGGTCCAGAATGAGGATGACAGAGAGAGACCTGGGAAAAGACAGGAAGGACTCTGTGCTGTGGCAGGATGCATAAAGAAAGGTGCTACTGCAGCACGGAGGCTCATGACACTGCTGTTCACCTTGAAAGCATTTCAAACTCTGCCCCTTGGTGAACTGTGAAAAAGACAAAGCCTCAGGAATGTAAGTGACCCACCTGATACTGACAGGAGTGATGGGGATCTGGACCAAGTCAGACAAAGAAGTCCCTCCTCCCAGCTCCCATAGGTGGGCTACATCTTTGTGCTGAAAGAACAAACCACCAGTTCTATCATTCCATCTCATTACATGTTACACACCAAGTACAACTGTAAACACATTGTTTACTATAAATAACCAGGGTATTTACTGGAATAAATGAAAACCAGTAGGTTTGGGTATATAGCATATCATGTCACATAAACACACCAACTACCACAGTGGCTCTGGCACATTGTACTCAATGTTCTGGAGCACTGGAAGTTGTGTTGAATTAATTAACAATCTTTTGTAGCTCTTTACATTTGCTTCTTATTGATTTGAATACAAGAAATGGGTTTAAGGCATTTGCAACTTATCAGGATTATCAGCCGTGTGTCTTTTTCCCATTTCTTTCAAGGGTCCTTACTGTGTTGTGTCCTCGGGCCCTTCTTCCGAAAGTGTACTCCAGAGCCAGAGTTGGTTTGGATGTTTCATCCCTGGTAGATTAAAATAAAATAAAATAAAATAAATAAAAACTCAGCTCTCATCAGCTCTATACTCTGGAGAAGGCCATGCGATGCAGCTGAAATTTTTGAGAGCTATTATGTGGATATTTGAGCAAAGATTACAAATTATATATTCTACACATCCTGCTCCTACAGGTCAAAACTGAACCTCCATGTTCAAAGCATGATGAACTGAATTGTTCTTTAACGCCTTACAGAATCTGGAGGGGATTAGGAACAGACTAACGTTAAGTGTTATCATGTGGCTAGAGTTACTAAACTTGAAATGAGCATTTACTACCTCGACTGGACACATACTCACCTGTCGAGGCATCTGAGGAGAATAGACGTTTTACCCTGAAAAAAGCAGGTGACATTAGTAATGACTGGCTATAACTTTTGGCTACAACTTAGGCAGCTTGTGACAAAACATCAAGTGCTTCCATAAGAACGCGATACATTAATTATCTGCAGTCTGGCACCACCACGATAATCATACCCCTGCCTTGCTCCCCATTAAAAATACGGTCCTCTCGCTGACTGTCTCGCCTCGGTCTTCCTCGACGCCTCCGCTCTCCCGACTGTGGACCTCCGCCGCAGCCAATTCCCATAGCGTGTCCGAGCTAACAAATTCAAGATAAATGCGACGCGTTAATATCAAAACATGTTATCTCTGTGGTAATGTTAAAATTATCTGAATGGGCATTCAAACATTTCCTCACCTTATTTTTGGCATCAAAATCGAAGTCTAAAAGATAGCTAGCTGAATGGCTGAAACTCACCAACGTTACCAGAGCAACGGCGCGTTTTGATGATGCAACATTTTAATTTATTCTTAGGCATTGTGGTAAATGTAGTGCTTTTGTTGAGACGTCACCCACAGTCTTGCTACATTTCATATCTCGCCTCGAAGGGAGGTTAAAATATAACAGTTCACTTTAATAAACGCCCTTTACAGTGCTTAGCGCGTGCATTGAATTTTTAATCATGTCATGTTTGCCTTTCATGCTTGCAAAACAGGAGTCTGTTATAAAGCAATTTAATAGCTTTATACCCCACTGCTATTACCACTGGTATATTACAATATATGTGCAAAATTCAGGGGACATATGACAAGAGAAAAATTCATGTAACTAACCTGCATCCATTTTTGTAACATTTGACAGACTTAGCATACAACCTTTGCATGCCAATTACCATAAGTCTCAAAATACTTGTCTGAATAAAATAAAAATAAAGTCACACCCTTTTCCTCTTCAGTAATGTGTCATAACTTCATCACTGATACATTTCACACTAAGAGGCAAATACAAAGGATCAATATAAAATAGATGGTAACAGATCATTTTTAATGAGAAGGCTGTAAATATACAATGTGTCATGACTTTTTCCCGGGCTGGTCACAATAAGGTACATTATCTTTCAGCAGGCTCTCTCTGGGTCGAAGCACTGTGACAGATACAGTGAGAGAAAAACATTTAGCATGTACATATCGTTGCGACAAATTCATTACAATATGATGAATTAAAAAGAAGTTACGATCTTGCTGTATATGGTATATTCTTTGTATACATTACTTTCTAGCACAATATCAACATTTAAAAAAGACATCAGGAGAGAAAAAAAGTATCGTACAAACTGTATTTTCTCTTATATGTTCAACTTGTACCACATCCTCTCGTAAAACAACTTCCACATCTGAGCCCATTTGAATCATCTGTAAAAGCAGAAGGGTAATGAGCTTTATGGGTTGTACTGGAGACACAGGCAGATTATGAAGCAGTTGGACTCTGGGCACAACCATGTACAATGCCCCTCTTCAAACATAGCAGTAGCTCCACTGTTGTCATTTTCTCTGGGATTTTGCAGATTAGCTATGAATTACAAGTGGTTATAAATGTGCCTAAACTTCAGTATTTGGTCATGCTGAAGATGCTTTCTAAATTCTTGCTAAAGCTGCCACTGCAGATCCAATTCAGTTTTATTGTCACAGAGCGCTGCCATTGTTTTGCTGTTTTTCTGTCTGTTTTAATAAACCATCAAAAGGAACCTGTAACCCAGAGCTATTCTACTATAATTAGACTGAAATCGGTTTGTTAATTTTATTTACTTTATCTCTCACTATGGAGCTGAATCATGTAGGTTTTTTTTTAGCTTTGTATTTGCTGATGCTCAATATGAAAAGACTTTTATCACTATTAGGAAAAATTGTGATCAGGATTTTGCTACATTTGATTGAACGTCTGGACTTTCTGATAAAAAAATGTCTGACTGTACCTTCTTAATGTTTTCTTCTGATGTTTCATTTTTGTTTTTCCGGAACTCCTCGTTGATCTTTAATCTTGCAGCTTGTGGGGAAAAACACTTAAGTACATGCTGTTGCAGAGCATGCATTATGTTATTTGTTGATGGGTAAACAGCACAAATATAGCGAATATAGTGAATCAGACACATCACCTACCTGTCAGTGCTCTGTTGTCGTCTTTGAATACAGCCATCCTTGTTCTGTGCAGCGCTTTAAACACGCTTAGGACCTACACTTATACAGACAGTAAGCTTTTAACATTAGTAATTTCAGCTCATTGAAAGCTTTAACATTAGTAATTTCAGCTATTCGAGCTAATGCTTGAACTGAAGCAGCTATTGATACTAAGAATTTCCGGCCATTTCAGCTATTCACCAACCTAGACATGCAAAGCCGTATTTCTTTATATTTACAAAGCTAGCTTAAGAAACAGACACAAAACACTGCTTTAATATTGTAGTAACATGTACTTCACATTCCCACCTTCAAACGAGTTTCCATCTTGACTTCTTATGCTCAGGTCCAGTGTGGATGACGTACCACTGATGACCAATCAGAGCAGACGTTTAAAATGACGCGTTTTTAGCCAATGAAATGGATTGTGTTTAGACACAGAGCTAAAAGTGAGGCAGATGTACGGATAGTCTGCGCTAACATGGCTGATGAAACGGCAAAGGCGCAGACTGCCCAGTCGGGTGGAGACACAATATTTGGAAAGATTATACGCAAAGAGATTCCTGCAAATTTTATTTATGAGGATGATCTGGTAAGCAATAAAGATTTTCACATTTTGGGTACAATATGTTACTCTACTTCGTTGCAACGTGTCTTGCTAGTGCCCTTAAGCTAATGTTAGCTCTGCGCTAGCGTTGCAGAAGCTGTTTTGTGTATATTTAACTTAATAAGTGTGTTATGTAGGTTTATCACAGAAGAAAACAAAACCAATACTATGCGTGCTGCAGAAATACAGCACAGCTTGAACTCGGACAACAGAAGAAGCTGGAAAAAGACTGCTAGATCGTTGTTTGTGTTACATTTGCTGCCAGTTGGCATCTACAGACAGTCGGCTTTTCTCCAAAATGTTACAGTGCCTTGCGGAAGTATTCGGCCCCCTTGAACTTTGCGACCTTTTGCCACATTTCAGGCTTCAAACATAAAGATATAAAACTGTAATTTTTTGTGAAGAATCAACAACAAGTGGGACACAACCATGAAGTGGAACGAAATTTATTGGATATTTCAAACGTTTTTAACAAATAAAAAACTGAAAAATTGGCCGTGCAAAATTATTCAGCCCCCTTAAGTTAATACTTTGTAGCGCCACCTTTTGCTGCGATTACAGCTGTAAGTCACTTGGGGTATGTCTCTATCAGTTTTGCACATCGAGAGACTGAAATTTTTGCCCATGCCTCCTTGCAAAACAGCTCGAGCTCAGTGAGGTTGGATGGAGAGCATTTGTGAACAGCAGTTTTCAGTTCTTTCCACAGATTCTCGATTGGATTCAGGTCTGGACTTTGACTTGGCCATTCTAACACCTGGATATGTTTATTTGTGAACCATTCCATTGTAGATTTTGCTTTATGTTTTGGATCAGTGTCTTGTTGGAAGACAAATCTCCGTCCCAGTCTCAGGTCTTTTGCAGACTCCATCAGGTTTCCTTCCAGAATGGTCCTGTATCTGGCTCCATCCATCTTCCCATCAATTTGAACCATCTTCCCTGTCCAGAGCCACCTGGGAGACACACCAAACATGTGGAAGAAGGTGCTCTGGTCAGATGAAACCAAAATCGAACTTTTTGGCAACAATGCAAAACGTTATGTTTGGCGTAAAAGCAACACAGCTCATCACCCTGAACACACCATCCCCACTGTCAAACATGGTGGTGGCAGCATCGTGGTTTGGGCCTGCTTTTCTTCAGCAGGGACCGGGAAGATGGTTAAAATTGATGGGAAGATGGATGGAGCCACATACAGGACCATTCTGGAAGGAAACCTGATGGAGTCTGCAGAAGACCTGAGACTGGGATGGAGATTTGTCTTCCAACAAGACAATGATCCAAAACATAAAGCAAAATCTACAATGGAATGGTTCACAAATAAACATATCCAGGTGTTAGAATGGCTATGTCAAAGTCCAGACCTGAATCCAATGGAGAATCTGTGGAAAGAACTGAAAACTGCTGTTCACAAACGCTCTCCATCCAACCTCACTGAGCTCGAGCTGTTTTGCAAGGAGGAATGGGCAAAAATTTCAGTCTCTCGATGTGCAAAACTGATAGAGACATACCCCAAGCGACTTACAGCTGTAATCGCAGCAAAAGGTGGCGCTACCAAGTATTAACTTAAGGGGGCTGAATAATTTTGCACGCCCAATTATTCCGTTTTTTATTTGTTAAAAAAGTTTGAAATATCCAATAAATTTTGTTCCACTTCATGATTGTGTCCCACTTGTTGTTGATTCTTCACAACAAATTACAGTTTTATATCTTTATGTTTGAAGCCTGAAATGTGGCAAAAGGTCGCAAAGTTCAAGGGGGCCGAATACTTTCGCAAGGCACTGTATATGATCCATTTAGGCTGCTGCGGATTCGTGTTCTTGTTGCTGTAGTGTAGATGGAGAAATCAGCATTTGTGACCTAGAGAATTGAATGCATTAAAATGTGAAGCTGTCAATGTTACCAACCTGTCATATTCTTACAGAAGGTAATTCACCCAGTGCCTGTGAAAGGGTTTCATTGCATTGTTTCTATATATTGGCCTGTTTGATTTTTCAGAAAAGGGGTGGCCAACAGTCAATTGTATCACCTAACACTGCACAAGTGAGAAAAGGAAATGACCTTATTGTAGATTACCCAGTCATTAGGTGTGGTAATTATTGTAGCCACTATAGCTACGTTATGACTGTATTAAGAATTCCTATAACATATTCATGATCTATTATGTATGTAGTTTAGTGTGTCCATGCCATGTATGCTACTTTATGCTGAACATCCCATAATGCAATGTGTCACATTTTATTGAATAAAAATGTATTTGTTCTTTTGTATTTCAGTGTGTAGCCTTCCCTGATATTTCCCCTCAAGCTCCCACTCACATTCTCATTGTCCCAAAAAAGCCAATTGTTAAGATGTCACAAGTCGAGGACAGTGATACTGCTGTAAGTATGAGTGCATGACCCTGTTTGCTTTTATAAACACTGTCAAATTAATTATTGCCAGTGTTTCAGTGATTTTTGTCTATCGTGTTTCTGTCAGTAACCACTAGATGGACCCCTTCACCACCAACTTAATGATTGTCCGGACAGTTGCTGTATTTGAGCACTGTATTTTAATCTAGTGGTCGTTTCACATCACTGTCATCCATAAATTCTCTCTGTCTTTTAGTTGTTGGGCCACTTGATGATGGTTGCAAAGAAGTGTGCTCAACAGGCAGGCCTTTCTAAAGGCTACAGGATTGTCCTCAATGATGGGCCACATGGAGGTCAGTCTGTCTACCACCTCCATATCCACGTCCTGGGTGGGCGCCAGTTGGACTGGCCCCCTGGCTAACCTCTGTCTTCTTGCATAGAACACCCTGTGGTCGCATCTGTTGTCTGACCACCAGCACTGTCAAATATAGACAAAGCCAATGAAGATATAACCTGGAAATTCATCAATGTCAATAAAATGCATTTCACAACAATGGGGAGAGTCATGTTTATCTGAACTTTGTCAAACCAGGCTGTTACTGAATGCAGTTTATTTTTTAATAGTTTATTGGTAGTACTGTTTTTTTTGTTTTGTTTTTTTTACCAAAGTTCAGGCAAAACAAATAGGTTGCATATGCATTTTCAGATGTGACATAATACTTGGCCTCTAGAGTAGACATCTACTTCTATCCAGTGAGAATTATAGAAATTCAGTGCAGAATACGAGACCTTTGTCTCTTAAATTTTGGAAAAAATAAATGCAGGTTCCATGTCTGTCAGTGGTGCCTATACACACGCAGGCAAAGTTTTATTTTGAAAGGCTGAATCCCATGGAAATTCCAATCTGAGGTCAGGTTTATGTTAAAGAGGATATTTCTTTGTACTGTTCACTTAATCACAGTCTGGTAATTCTTAGAACAATACACATTGTGTGAAGAAATGTACCTGCTACCTGTAAAGTTCAGGGCCCCAGTCAAATGATGATGAACAAATGAATGGCTCTGTTTTATTAACAGTAAGAAACAATGCAGATAGTTGAACAAATATAAAATACATGTAACATTCACAAAATATTAAACTAGACAAATAAATAAAATGGTTTTTCTTTACAAAAAAAAAAAAACACTGATAGGATGACAAAATTAAACAGGTACCTGGCATTCACAGTCCCCTAATTTCTTTTCAGAACAGGGAGCAATATAACAATGAACACAGATTTGTACAGACAGAATAGTTCCAGAGACGCAAGGCAGTCACCTCTGATATCAAGCCAAGCGATATCATACTTTGTCAAACCAAGTGACATTTGATGCAGCCTTTCACTGCTTCTGTATGGAAAAACATCACTATCTGATGTGCAAAATAAGAGAAACCTTTTTAGACAACTACATGTTTTCTCTTAATCAGTGCCCTTTGATAGTCAAAATGGGCACTTTGAGGCATTGAAAGACATTGTACAGTACAGTATAGAGATAAGGAAATGAAGATATTCTGGTACCTAAATTCACTATTGCAAGAGTATCTAAGTACTAACTGCCTTTAAGTCACCTTACTCTATAACACAGACTATAAGCTGAAGTTAGATTCAGAAAATGGTTATTCCTGATCAAGTAACAAGAAGAGTGGCAAAGTCAATGAGAAAAGAAGTTTACTATATTGTATCTGCAATTTTGCAGTATCAGTACACAGGTCGAACTTCCTCCTTGGTGGAAATAGATCAATGCACCGTCCGTATTTACACTGATATGACACTGTAGTACAAGCAGAACTTATAAAAAAAGATGGAGCTCATTTTGAAAGATTATTTCTACCCACTGATGTTTTGAACCACACAGTTTCCCGTGTTCTTTTCTGAGACAAAACCAATTCCAGCAGCTTCTTCTTGTTCAGTCTTTGTGTATACTTGACCTCATATTGGTTAGTGACAGATAAAGAGAATAAAATGTACTGGGAGACGACTCAAAGCTTTAAGAAGAAAAGGACCAGTATCTAAATATTATAAAATATTTAGTCTAAACTTTTTTTTTGCACATCATTGCTAGTTTAGTCACCTTGTGTAACTGGAAAAAGTAGAAAAAAGCCAATTGGAAATCATAGGACACTTGAGTGGATGCATCCATCCATCCATTTTCCTCCGCTTATCCGGGACCGGGTCGTGGGGGCAGCAGTCTAAGCAAAGATGCCCAGACTTCCCTTTCTCCAGACACTTCCTCCAGCTCCTCCGGGGAAATGCCGAGGCGTTCCCAGGCCAGCCGAGAGACATAGTCCCTCCAGCATGTCCTGGGTCTTCCCCGGGGCCTCCTCCCGGCGGGACATGCCCGGAACACCTCCCTAGGAAGGCGCCCAGGAGGCATCCGAAACAGATGCCCGAGCCACCTCAGTTGGCTCCTCTCGATGTGGAGGAGCAGCGGTTCTACTCTGAGCTCCTCCCGGGTGACCGAGCACCTCACCCTATCTCTAAGGGTGCGCCTATAGCAAAAAGAGTGGATGCACTATAGCAAAATGTTTAGGGCACCAATTTTCACAGGCTATGTCACTAGGGCCCAAAACATGGCAGCAATGATTAGACTAAAGTTTCATTACAATGAATAGGCTTTGATTTGTTTACAGATAGAGTGCTGACATCCAGAGACAAGGGAGAACTGCAGAGGAAGGAAGTTAAGTTCCATCAAAACAATACAATACAATATGAACTGCCCCATCATAACACAGCAGACAAATTTCAAGATGGCTCTATTGTTCAAACATAACATTTATCAAGAAACATGTTAACTTTGGTAAGTTAATGATCACTTACTTCCCACAGGCTGCTGTTGTTTAAAAAAACACTCATTTACTGCCTGTACATGCTACTGAAATGTGACAACTACTGAGAGAAAAGAAGGGAAGAGTAAATGTAATGAGTGAAAGAAATATAGGTGAGCACACAGATGGGGAGGCACAACAGATCTTTCTCAACAAAGTCAGTTCAATGGACGAACAGTTATGAAATATATAAAACTTCTGCATTTCTGCTTAATTTGTGAACAGTTTCAGGCATAAAGCATTTATGACTACAGTTTGTCAGGGTGTTAATTAAGGCTGCTGAAATAGTCTTTGTACTGAACAAGAGCTAAGAAATTATTGCAGTGTGTTGTTTTACCTCAGTGTAAATAAAACATCTTTTGCGAGTGTTATTTCACAATGCATTCTGTTTGTCTGAAAGTACTGCTAAAGTCTTAAAAGTTGTCTTGTATATTTTTTGAGGGGATGTGGGGGTTGCGCTGCTACTACTGAGGATGTGTTTAAGGCATGTCATTAGTGTAGGTTGGGTCCAGACACCCGGAGAAGGCAAGAGTAAAAGTGGTGACGATACAACCACAGAGATCTGACCGCTGAGACAGCAATAGGATTCAGTCCATCAGGAAGTCAGGTTGGCCCGTTAGGTCGACCGAAATCATTCATGGGTCAGTTTCTATCTGAGGGTATATCAGTGATGCATCAGTGAGAGTTTCCCCAATGGAGTCCAAAGGTCAGTTGAAACACATCATGTCCTTCTACATCTGACAATACATTTGATAAACTGGGTTTATATTATACCCATAATCATAAACTGCTATAGTCAGCAGAATGGCAACTGTTCTGTCAGAAAAACTGTTTCAATGTTTACACCTGCTTTCTTTTTGTTAACGCCGGCCACTCAAGTTATTAACATAACCTTGATTTCAAAGCTTCTTTCTGTTCATTTCTGTGCTATGGCCTCCTCGCCACTTGGCCGCATGCGGTTAAAAGACAGTCCTCCAACTCCTGTTAATTCTCCACCCACACTGGCGTCTTGTACAGTCTCCACTGTGTTGGCAGTGGAAGCTTGAACCCTGGCGGAGGCTGCTGAAC